TTTTTTTTGGTTTTTCTCCGGTACCGGGAACCGAACTCACGACCTTGCGCTTGCCAGGCAGGCGCTTTTGCCGCTGAGCTAAATCCCCAGCCCCTGGTTTCCTTTCTTGAGGGTAAGAAGAGGATTAAGAGTGGGTAACTGTACTAGCAGTCAGTCTATCAATTAAGAGGTAGCTCTTGTGGCCTTATGATCATATGTACTCTTATCTCAGTAGCACGCCTGAGTGGCAGCTCTGACATTTGAAACAGAAAAAAAAAATGGAACTTATTTATTATTACATTTTCTTCTAAATTTCAATTTACCTTTCAGTTCTAATTCACCATTTAAAACAAGCAAATTGACTCTACAAACATAATCAAGGGATGTTCATATTGCATTAATAGATTGCTTTAGTTTTGCACTTCTCACAACTTAATTATTTAGATCCCAATTTCCTTATTCAGCATTAGAATATTAAGGCAAAATCTAATTTGCAGTAAGCAGCTTGAGGCCACAGAACCATAGAAAAAAGTAGATGGAGGCAGGTGAATATGTTAAATTCTTTATCTCATCAGTGCCTGCAGATATATATGTTCTTCACTTATGTCTTTCAGTGCTTTAGTTATATGAAATAGAGTGGATGTTTTGTTAAGTATGCTTGCTCTTCAAGAATATTTGTTCCCCATTTAAATAGGGGCAGTTTCTGTCAGTAGGCTAAAAGTAAATAAAATAAAAATGAAAACATAGGAGATCAGACAAGTAAAAGTAGTATGCAGAATTTTGTCCTATGAAAGATGCCTGGTAAATATTAATCCATTTTTTATTCTTTTAGACCATTTATTCTGGCAGTATGGTATATATCCAACCTAGATATCACACAATCCACATCCATTGTACCATAGGTTACTATTTCAGAATATGTATCCAGACCAGTGGGGAAGCCTGAAATAAAAGGTAAAATAACACATATTAGAAAATATTGTAATGTAACATCTATAATGAGCTAGTCATTTGCCAGGCAATGCATTTAGTAATAATTTTAAGAGTTTTGCATCAGGTATCTTTACTCTTCTTGGGATTTAAATAAGTGCTGTTCTCCACATATTGAAAAGTTTTACAACAGTGTGTCAATATGAAGTCAAAACTGACTATGTCTTTCCACAAAAGCCTGAAATTGATAGTGTATTTGGAAAGAAAAGTAATTAGATAGACAATAGTAAGGAAAAGTTTTTCTGAACTAGTAAGTGGAGAAGATGGGGAAGGCCTTGGCATGAAAAGAATGGAAAAACTCATGCAGTTGGATTTGCTGGGGACATCAGCTCTAAAACACTCTATGAAACCCCAAGAATTTAACCATTAAAAAGATAACAGTCATATATAATGATTATTTCCCCTTAAAATTAGATCTAAGCTCTAATTTGAAGCTCCAGTGATTGGAAACTCAGAGCAAGATGCCTTGAGTAACTCACAAAAATACTGTCCACAGATACAGAACAGCCCTTCACTAATGGTGGTATTGGCCTGTAAGGAGAAGAAATAAGTCATGGTTAAATTTCCCAAACTCACACCTTAAATTGATGGCATCAGCCACAATGCGCAGTTTCTAGTTTTCTCTGACTCAGTTTAACTGACAATGAAATCTAGACTTTGAATGATCTTAAACAGATCATTAATGGTAAGGCTGGGAGAGATTTGAAGGCAGCTCTTGTATCCCAATTACAAGAAAGTTTGCAACCAGCAAGTGCTGTGTTTAGATAAGTCTATTACACAATAAAGGAAGTAACCATGATGGCCCTAACAAACCGTTCATTCAACTCATGAAATACATCACTGTATGATCTCTGAGGCTTTGAAAGCTAAAGCTCTTTCAAGGCCTTCCCTGGGAAACACCAGAAACAGCAACGGCCTGATGGACAGAGAGCTTTGCTTTACATTTCTGCTCCTTCCTGTCATTTATTATCTGTATGAACCTGAACATATCTATTTCCTTGAGTGAGCTTCAGAATGTGTATCTGCTATACATCTGGCATGTTTACTGAATGGAGGATTGCACTTAACCATTGAGTATACTATGCTAAACAGAGTATTCATTCAACAAATGTCAGTTACTGTGGTCATTATTATAACTTATCACACACTGCTAACAAAACACTTTTTTTTCTTGAAGGCAAAATTTCATTTTCAGGGAGTACCCACTCCTTTCTAATGAGTCTAATAATTCCTTGTAATTTCACCAAACTTCACGAATGAGTTTTCTAGACGTTGATTTAGTCTGCTTTTCCCAATGGATCACTTGCAGCCAATGAAGAAGTGAGGGAGGTCTCTGAAGGACCTTCCTTGAAAAGTTCCTGTACTCCTACAAAAAGGAATGAGGAGGAAGTAGTTATTTTCCATGAAGTAGCAATCCTGTACATGTAAGACATATGAAGGACATATGAGGTAGTTATGTATGACAATGAAGATCACTAGAACAAACACAAAGATGGAGCTCAAAGAGGCAACAAGCTGGATTCAAATGTCACTGTGACCTGAGCACTTCATATTATTGAGAATAACACATTTTCTTATTTATTCAAGCTAAATTAAGTCCTCTTTTCTGTTTCCTACATCCTAAAACATCCTAAATGATACATTATTGAATAAATATTGCATCTTCTTGATGCAATACCAACATACAGAGATGCACACACACATACATGCATGCATGCGCACATACACATAAAATTCATAGACTTGTATGTTAAAGAACAAAGTTAGAACATAGGAGAGCATGCGATCTTCTGATCTGGCTCTGTAAAAGGTCAACCTGTTAAGAAAAGCTCAGTTTTATCTTATTTGATTGTGATCCACTACTACCAGCACACCGTAGTAAATGATCATGTATTTTGCAAAGATGAAAAGAATATTTACTTCCAAGTGACTTTATTATTGTTTTCCTCTAAACGCTCCCATAATTCAGTCTCTCCCCAAAGTCCCATGCACTCTTCAGTGGGTGATTGTAGAGGTGAGTGTGTTTTCTGACATGGTGTGGGAGGTGTGGTGTGGTCAGAATAGACTGCTCACTGCTGGCATGGCCTGGAAGGGTCTAACTCCCTTCCCTTTCCTCTTTGATCTCTTTCTCGCTCTCCACTTCTTCTCTGCCAAGCTGCCATGCACTGGAGCCAGTCAATTAAATACTGAAACATTTACAAACTGTGAACCAAAAGAAACCTTTCCTCCTTTGCATTGTGAGTGTTGAGTATTGGGTCCCAGCAATCAGCAAGTAACTAAGACGGAGTTATAATCAAGCACCATTAAAAAGTTCATAAACAGCTGTCAACAAAGACTGGGAAAATATGTATCATAGGAGACTTGTAACATTTAGAATACAGAGACATGAGAGGTAGCCCATGATCTCTGACTATGACAGTACCCACTGCTTCATATATAGCAAGGACTCATACCATATTCCACTTTCTTAGTACTATACTTGACACTTCCAGTATAAACACATATTTGTCCCTTCTTGGAGACAATCACCGACATTTAATTTTTATTTCTTCTTTGATATTCATATCTCTCAAAAATCCATTTAATATTTATCAATTCTTGAAAATAAATATTCTTTCCTCCAGTCTTCCTGTATTAATTGTTAATGGCAAAGATTGAGGTTTTTCTTTGGTTTTGTTTTTTTTCTAGTACCAGGATTCGAACTTACAACCTTGCACTTGCCAGGCAGGTGCTGTGCCACTGAGCTAAATCTCCAGCCCCAAGATTGAGTTTTGAGATTAAAAAAAAAAAAAATTATCTTTCCATTTTGAGTTTGGAAAATCTATTTCAAAACTAAAAAGTTGAGAATTAACTCTTTTCCCTTCAGTGTCCCACTGTGACATTCCATCTGTAGGGCAGAAAACTTGGAATGGCCTGGATACTGCAAGAAATCGGAGTTGGGCATAAAAGGAATTTCATGGGCAAAGAAAAGCACATAAAATCATGCCAAATTCACCTCCGTACACATGAACAACACTGATAAACAGGAACTACTGATACAGGAAGCTTCCTGAAGAAAATGTGAAAGTAGATTCTTAAGTATTTTGGTGGTAAAAAGTACAGAGGAAACTCTTTGAAAAATGGATAAAGACACAGAGGAAGAGAGCTTCCTAGGACAGTCTATGGCATGTTGGTAGTGTGCAGGCTCATTTTGGTCACTGAGTGAAATATAAATTTACTGTGTCTTTGTGGCATGCAATAAACTATCAGGTAAAAGTAAAAGAAAATCAACTTAGCAGGGCCCATGATAGAGCTACTATATAAGCAAGCACCCTTTCAAGCCATTTGAAAGTGCCGACCAGAATGGCCCAACTGAATCAAGTTGCAAGGGTGGAGATGAAAGATGAGAGGGGAATGGCACGGATATTGTCTAAGTGGTGGGTCTGTACTATGGCTTAGCTATCTGAGTTGAACCAAAGCGTGATCTGTCCATTAATGCATCCACACATGAGCCTCATCCTTCCAAGGATCCGTTCTGCCTGTCTTAGCCAATGTTTTCAGGGTTTTCAGACGTAGTTGTTTTCCTCAGCATTCCTCACTCTCAAATAGAGACTTCCCTAGAAGCACCACCCAGTTCTGTCCCGCAGGCTGCAACAGTGCTCTAAGCAGGCACTTGAAGAACTGTCAGAAGCAAGGGACAAAGAGCAGAAAGGGCAGACCATGCAAGCAGAAGGCAGTGCAGGAACTGGGAAGTGCTGCAGAGTCTGGCCGTTGTGACAATTTCATGCTTTCACACCTTTGAATGAGTGTTCAAAGTGTTTCATTTTGGGAGCCTCAGACAGTAGAGCACTGATTGCAATGGCTTCAGGCATTTTAGGGCACAGCTGGCCACTCGGCCACCTCTGTGTCCACGGCAGTTTTCTAAAAATAAGGGAAATAAAATATAGGTTATTTTCAGGTCTGATGGGTGAACCTCACTGTGAACAACCGCAGGATCTGTGTTCTTTTTTTCTTTCTTTCATTTTTTTTTTTTTTCAAACACAGAACAAGCCACATTATTTTTGAGGAATATGATTTTTCTTTGACATCATTTGGAAGAAATTGCAAGAAATAAGAGTTGTTATTTAAGACAAATAACAACAACTTCTGAGTTAGGATTACCCCAGTGATCTAGCCAGTACCAAATTGTGTTTCAAGAAAAGAACAAATAAACAAATCTGGGCAAGGTCAGGTAAACACTCTAAAAATAGTTGTTGACATATTATACTTAGTTTTTAAAAACTTTTTAAATAAACAGATCCTTAAGTAGTCATTTTTTTAATGAAAAGCATAATTGTTATTAAACCTATTTCAATGTTCAGCTATCTTACCTTCAGGATAGTGGATGTGGTATGCAACATCTTCCAACTCTCCCTTTTATCTTCTCCACTTGAGAACTACCTGTCAGAAGGTCTGAGTTCTAGACCTCATTCTGCTCTTCACTGCCTGTTATGCTTGGCAAATTGGTCAGTTGCTCCATAATCTCAACTTCTTCCTTAATAAAGTGCAGATTAAAATATGTTTTTCTTACAACATTAAGTCATGAAATTAGTTGAAAGTTGAAGAATCCTAGAGGTCATTTCGTTAATGTGTTTTATTTTACAGATGAGAAAGTTACTGGGTCACACAGTTGACGGGTAGAATATCCATAATGAGCATCCAGCTGTTCTAATTACTGACATGTGTGCTTTACACATTATTATTATCATCCTTTTTTATACCACAAAACCTTCTATTCTTATAAATCCAGTCCATTCATCCCTACACCAACCACCAATAATGAAAACCTTCTATTTCCCAGGATTGTCCACCTTTTATAAACTCCCATATGTAGCCCAGGAACACCTACCCAGCTTTCTGAGCATATAAATGGGTATATTCATCTATGCTGCCTTCCCTTCCTAGTCTTGCAAAAATAAGTATCTTCTCTGTCTAAACTGCATAATACCTCATAGCTTCTACCATTTGTTGATACTTTTAGTCATTAATCCACTGGTCCAATGACTAATACATGTAATCAAGTCATGACACCCACTTCTTTATGTTCTCAGCAATTAATACTGTTCTTTGATGCAGTAGTTTTCCTATATATATGAAAGAGAAATATTAATATTACTTATGTCCAATGACTTTTGTGAAGATTAAGTTTTACGTAGGTGCATCAGCACAAAGCAGAGCTTAATTCACAGTATGTTTTATATTAATCTTGGTATTACTGTATGACTTTATGTTGTTAATGATACTTCAGGGTGGTGAGAAATTGTGTTCTGGTGGATGGCAGATGAAATCTCTAAACAGGATTTCTCATGAGACTTGCTGAAAAATACAGAGACAATTAAGCTAAGTACCTCATTCTTCTTTAACGAGAACTCCACTCCTTAATTCTATGAATGTGTGAGATTGCCTGAATTTCTTAGAACCAAAGTGAAAACCAGCACAGTGTGCATTTCTAGAGCATTTTAACTTTCATTACTTTGCCTTATAGTTCTGATATCATTTCTCTGAATTATAAGTAATGAGGGTTGAAGATCCATGATATTTATTAAATTCTCAAACATATAGGGAGAATATAGACTTCCTTTTTGATTTAGGAGACATTAGTAGCAACTATATTTTTCTTTACACATGGAGTTGCTCCATTTGTTAGACTACAAGGTAGCAGCTGCAAAACATTGTGGTACTTATCAATGAGAGGCAACATATAAAGAATTCTCAACTGGGACTCAGGATATCAGACTTTTATTATGGATCTCCTTCTGGCTGCAGTATAGGAGAGCTAATTTTTTATTTCTGAATATTCTGAAATATTTTGGAGAGGTCTTGACTACTTAGCTACTGTGCAATTTAAATTCTTGGTTGAAGTTAATAGATGATATAGACCCAATTTAGGCTGATTACTACTTGCTTAAGCACAGAAGTTCTCCCAGTAATAGATCAGTGTTTCTGTGGTATTCAAACCATGATCACAATTAAAATTTTATGATATAATATTTTGTACAAAACAGAGAGAAAATACAGAGAGTCTTACCACCCCCACAATGTATCTGTAGAGCATGAAAGGCAATCTTTCTGTTTAATGTCAGTTCTTTAGTTCATTACAATATAGTTGATCACTTGTGGAAATCCTAAAAATTGTTGAGAGCACATTCCATTGACTGGGAGATAGGGTATAGTTTCACCATTAACTGACATTTTGACAAAAAAAGACTACAGATAGAGAAAATATACACAGTCCTGAATTCCTTAATGCTCTTCTCTTTCTTTATGTTGCAAATCGATCTTAGAATCACAATTTAAATCATTTTAGCACATCATAAAGCATCCTGGTATTTTTTAGACCACATCATATGGGATCATTACAACAACCGCTCTATTAATACATGACTAATTTCATTTTGCATTTTTTAGAAATAGTCATTGATCTCCTTACAGGCATTTACCGTGAATGTGTACAGCACATTGTAACACTCTTGGGAAAGTAATACACCATTTTACAATAATGAGTACATGTATACCACCTTTCAAGTATATTATATGAACTTTAAGGATAAGCATTTCTCTTTTAGCCCTATGTTCTCAAAGCTCTCCCAAAATATTTGATAGAGTAGGTGAGTGAACTTTTTTCTGATCACACTAATATCAATTAGGTTTATATGTATGATTCCAAAATTTAACCAGCAGCACTCCATTTCACTTACATAAAAGTCTCCACTGCATGATATATGATTTGGTTAACTTGTTTTACCTAAACAAATAAATAATTAATTGAAGACTGTTTCCTCCTTCCTTTATTGAGTTTTGTCAATTTTTGTCTTGTATTTTACAAGATAATCTTAAAAATCTAAAGAGCAGAGGTATCTGATGAAGGCCATCAGGAATTATTTCAGGAGGTAAAGTTTAATAGGAAGTTGGAAACTTTTTAATCTTCTGTAGGATCTTTCAAAAATGGTTATTTATCCTTAGTTTATGTAAATGTTTAATACATAAGTTATAAAATGTATAATACATTGAATCATGTCTACTAGGCATTCAACTATGTGCGGAAACTCAGAGATGACCAAAGCAGATGTGTCACTTCCATTCACAAAGTCAATGTGGAAGGGGTAGATATTACATGTAACCATTATGCTCAAAAATATATAATAGAAATATGATACCAGCAAAGTGGAAAGGTGCAGTAAGATACAGTGTCAAGGTGTAGACACTTCCAACATAGATGGAAGTGTCTAGGGGCCAGTGACTGCTTCTTAGTAGAAGTAGAATTGAAGTTCCAATCTGCACGCCGAAGAAGACACAGTATGAAAAGAATGTGGAAGAAACTCTCCTGAATGAAGCCATCACATACAGTGAGGTTCTGAAAGGGAAAAGAGTTCTGAGAGTGCTGTGAACAGAAGGCTGCATAATAAAACATTGTCAAAGGTAATGAAGGAGTTTGGTGCCAAAGGATGGTGAATGTGAGGGCAATGGCAGATCACGTAGAATGGCAAAACCTCTTTCATACAATAACCCATTCTCTAATTTTGCTCCAGTCCTAGCCAAGTTAATAGACCTAGGCCCCCTACTCAGAAGAACAAAACTCATATGTACAGTGCATGACATTTCTCTACCTTCAGTGTTTTTTAAACTTACAATATGCATGCATGCTGGGGCAAGAACCTGGAAGTAAGAGAGGGGATTGAAGAAAGCCAGATTCATTACTTCAAAGGAAATGACTCCCATCACTAAGACTATCTACTCATCCCTTGCTTTTCTTCCTCTTTTTTTAATTAAAAAGGACATTTACATGCTAATTGGATCTTTATTCCTTGAGAGTCCCTCAGCTCTTGTAAAGTCTTCCTCTTCTGAAGCACTTAATCCCCAGTTTGAAGCATCACTGTTGATTGTAGTGGAAAGACTGTGATGTCACAAATGGGGGATTATGACTTCACAAGGGAAATAAGAGAGCAAGACAGACAGTTTCAAGAGACCAAGATCTTTTATTTATGAGAATGTCTCTATTAATCAAAAGGGAAGAGAAATACCAAACATATAGAAAATGACAGCAGAATTGTAGCTAAATAAAATGTTCTTCAAAATTATCCTGGCAATGTCACTTTCTCTTTAGAGGATTCCTGAGAAATGCTATTGCAGAGGATAGGTTTGAGATACCAAATCTCCCTATACTTAGCACTTGCGAAATACTTAGCCCTGGGGTAATCGAAAGTATAATCAGGCCTGAGAGCGAGCTGACACTGTGTGCAAAAAAGTAGTGTAATGTTACGCATGGCCCTACTGTGATGCTCTTTGTTGGGTCTGTGGAAGAGCTCGCTTCCATTCCATTTAACTCCTTTAATGAAAGTCATGACATAATCTAGCTTTGAACACACATAATGGCTGTCCACTGGAACTTTTTTTTTTCTCCTCAGATGGTCAGTTTGCTACTTCCAATTCAAACAGTACTTCAATTTTTAAATCATGTGAAATTTTCAATGTAGACACACAAAATTTTTAAGGTAAACTATTGTTAATAATGAGTAGCAAATGTTACTATTTATAGTCAGAGATTTCTTTCAAAGGGCTACAATAAAATATGTATTTGTATCTCCTAACTTCACAACTTGTATGCCAATTCTATTGTGGTGCCCATAACAGTCATCACTTAATCAAGTGCTACAGACTTGTGCAGTGGTTTTCAATATGCTATTAAGCAGCCCGTTTGGATGACAAATGACCTAGGTATCCTGTTACATACAGAGACTTGCAGGCTAGCCACCAGTGAGGACTGGATGCTCTCTCTGAGGGGCCAAGGACTCTGCACCTGTAACAAGTGCTCCAGGAGATACTTATGCATCCCCAAAGTAGAAAATCATGGCTTTCCATGTTTTATGAAACAGTAGGAAAATCAGAGCATGGAAAAGTTCCATGTAGCTAAAAAATTGAATGTAGATGCAGGAAATTGCTCTCCTAGGTGAATACTCAGCTTCTGTTCACTCTGCACTTTGTGGACTTGGTCTTCTTATCTTTCTTTTCCCTACAAATAATTTTGATTGACACTGAACTGCATCTTTATCTTTAATAAAAAATTATACTGGGCTTTATAGCCCAGTATAGTCTCTCTGGGATTCTACGAATGGTGGTGTGTGCTGTAATGTATGGAAAAATAAAATATCTGTGCTATTTTTTCTTAAAAGTTGGTGTATTCACATGTACTATACCTACCAAAAAAATAAAAGTACTGCATGCATTGCTTTGACAAAATGAATATAGTCATATAGCCATTTCCTCCAAAAATAAATAAAATACCAATGACATTCCACAAGGCCCTTTCCTCCCTTTCAGTTGCTGTTGGCTAGCATGAACCCTTCTTTTTAGTAATAAGGGAAATTAAAACTACAGCAAAAGTTTACAGGAAAAAGTCTTTGATTAGAAAGTAAGAGAGAACGTTAGCGACTTTAGTTTGAGGAGCTGACAAAGATCAGTAAGAAAGTAAGAACAATAGCAAAAAAACTTCAGTTTGAGCAACCAGAGGGGCGCCCTCACACAGAGGTTCAGACTAGCCTGCTTGCAAAGGCAGGAGAACAGATTTAAGGATTAGCTGGTGAGCTGGCATCCAACTGATCCTTCTCTACATTCTAGTTTTGTAGCTTTGGAATCCTCACGACTTGAGGAGTGGGCCCATTTTAATGAAATGATCCTGATAATTTCAGTAATGTGGTACTCTACTTTTCCTGGAATCCAAGTAGTTAAGGTTTAGCACAATGGCTGGAGATTTCTGGGCACTGGTGCGTGTCCCTGTAAACCTCTTATCCTGGTGTTCTCACTCTTGAAGAAGTACATGGTCATGTAAATTTAGAGTTAATCAACCTGGTTTTAACATCTTTAAAACAGACACTTCCTAGATCAACATACTTAAGAATAGAGCTGAGAAGATATTCGATCTAGAGATTTTCAGTAACAAAGGATGCAAAATAGACATTAAGATTTGTTCTACTTTAGTTATTGTTTGAGCACTGAGTAGGTGCAAATAAAGAGTCATAGATTTCAGCAAAAACTACTTGTAAGTCCCTGAGTGAATTAGGAGTAAACACAAATCAAATTTTGGCTCAGTAACTGGTAAGGTACTGGATTCAGCCAGTTCCCCATCACAATGGCGGTCTCACCTTCACAACTGGCACAGCCTCTGTAATTATCAAGGTCATTATCCAAATTTTTGTGCTTTTCTCTCTTCTATGCTGGTGTTTCTCTTTGTGTTGATTTATGAAAACTATTTTTACATAGGTAAAACTACTTCAAGACTACTGCCAAAAATTTCAGTTTTTGTTCATTTTTAAATTATGACCTACTAATAAAATAATAGCCATTCAAACCTGCAGGCATATTAGGGAAATTCATAAAGGTTTTGCTATCTTAATAGCATAAAAATTCTTAATTATTTTCTTTTAGTAGTGTATATATTTTCATTTTGGTTTTCTTATATGGATATGAATAGAAATACATACGTATATCATATATAGTTAATGCATATATACCAAAGAATACATATGTAATAGTAAGATCTATATCTGTATATAATAAATGTGTATAAGTGGCATTTAATTTTATTTAAATTTACAAGTTAAAAACTATAGTACTTTCAAAATTTATTTAGGTACATGGATCATGTCAAAATCTTTAAATCCACAATGCAAATGGCCTCTCTGAAAATGCCATGCCAATTTGCAGTGCTGTATAGGATTTCCTATTTTAGCATTTTATCGGTAAGATATAATCAAATTTTAAAATTGAATTTTAGAAGGGAAAAATAGCATATCTCTGATCCTTTTCCAAAGTTAGTTTTATTTAAATATAATATATCCACAGACATGTTTGTAAAGCATTAATGCATTCATGATTGTATATATCAAAAGAGATCTCACTGTGTCAGCATCATTACTCATTTCATTATATTTCTCTAAAATGGCTATTAAATATAATATTATTAGATCTTTTTTTGGACTTTCTTGGCTTAATCCTCTGTCCATATTTTTCTTTTATTTTTCCTTTCTGAAAAACAGCCTATTCTCTTTCAAATTCAATCTTTATAATTTTCCTTGATGTTTAGTGATGTCAATTCACCACTCATATCTTCCTCTTTTAAAAATGTTTTTAAATATTTCCACATGCTTCTTATTTACAATTTTCTCTGGCTAAAAGAAATCTGACTCCTATTATCTACAATTTATTTACTTTTTTATTCAACCTTAGTATACATGTAAGAGTTTTAGAACTCTTAACTGTTCCCCTGTTAGAAACAAATTATACACTACTGCACTGTGTTTATCTACAATTTCTTTGGCTTAAGCCTTGCAGTCTTTAGCAAGAAGAATATTTTCAATGTTATTTAGGTCAGCGCTGTTATTCTGTTTCACCTTTAGTGAGATGAAGTAATGTATACACATAACAGTACAGTTAAAACCATTTGGAATTCCCCTGAATCCTGATTAATTATTTTATGGTAAGGTTTGTCATAAAATTAGAAAAGTTTTGCTTCTTTCAGTTTTTTAAAGAGCTATCTTTTTATGGGCTTTGACAAATGCATAGAATTACTGTGTGTACCCACCATAATAGATTCAAAAAGAATAGTCAAGTTACTCTAAAAACTCATCTATGTAACCCCTTTTTGGTTAATAACTCTGAACTTTAACAACCTGGAAATTTTGACCTATTTTCTCACACTTTAGCTCTGTATTTTTCACAATGCCATATGAACTGAAGCATGTAATTACACCATTTGGGTAAGATTTTTTTCACTTCAAAAATTTAAGATTATTCCACAGTGTGTGTAAATGAACAGTTCATTATATGTATATACTGCAATTTCATTCAACTCTTGATGGAGAGCTTTGCTGTTACTAGCTTTTGACAGTCATTATAAATCTTCTCTAAATATACATGTACAAATTTTTGCATGAAGGTATGATCTTTATTCACTCAGGTAAACACAAAAAAAGTAGAATACTGAGGGTATAGTTGACTTTAATAGACACTTCCAAACTCTCTGCTCCAGCAAATGGAATACTTTTGTTCCTACCATCAACAAAGGATACTTCTGCAATATTCTGTCCTTACCCACAGTTGTTAAAATATTTGATTTTTAATCTTAGCATATTGTTGCATAATATTGCAGTTTTATCTTGGATTTCTCTTAGAAAAATGCTGCACAACTTCTCAAACTAGACTTTTTATTTAACCATCCATATGTCTTCTATAAAAGTGTCCATTTAGATCTTTCCCTTTCTATGTGGTTGTCTTATTATGATGTGTTTCAATACCCCTTTATATATTCCAGATAAAAGTCCGTTATATAATATGTGATTTACAAATACTTTCTCAGTCTCTAGCTTGTGATCTTATTCTTACAACACTATCTTTCATAGGTATTTTTAAATTTAGATTAAGTACTGGTTACCTAGTCTGTGACTGTTTAAATACTTTATTTTTATTCCTTGCAATTTTAGTAAGATATTTAAAGCTTATTTGAAGTACATTTTAGCTATATTTTATGTATTGAATAGTTTGGCATTTGACGTCAAATATGTAGGTCAGTAATTCTTTTTTGAGATATTTTCATGTGAATTGTACACTAACGTTCTTTTTTTTTTTTTTGCCTACTTATGACCTGTATATCCAGTGCCAATTACTCTAAACAGCATCTCCTCATGAATCTTTGTCAAAAATTAATTGGTTGACTTTGTGTGATTCTCTCCCTGAACTTTCTATTCTGTTCCATTATTCTATGCCTATTCTTTCACCACTACTATATGCTCTTGATATTTTCTTTTGCAATTTGAAATCTTAAAAATTACATAATGTGAATTCTATTTTCCAAATATTGTTCTTTCT